GCTGCTTTGCCTCTAATGGTTTCCATCCTGCCTGATTAAAGGTTCCTTTTGAAATAATCTGTTTCAAGAGTCTTTACTAGAGCACAGTGGAGTGCAGAATTTATGTGTCCCTGGTTTTTTTCTCTGAGAGATATAACACCTCTAAAATGGGTGACAGCAACCAGTGACTAGAAGGCATGTCAGCAGCTCCATACAGCTACCAAGAGGAATGCAAATGTGGCTTAGATAAAATTAAACTGTGGAATTCACAAGGTTGGTTTCATACTGGTACAAGTTGTAACACACCAGTTTTGAAGCAGAGTAGGAAAGCACGATTGTAGGATAAGTTGAGGGTGACATTCTCCATCGAAGGCACTTCAATGAACTTGTTAAAGCATTGCTAGCTAGCAGGTTATGTAGAAGAGCCCCACTTATAAATTGGATTCACAAATCATGGTTTCTTTAATCAAAATTTATGAGGAAAACCCCTCCATTTCCTAACATGCAGAGCCATAAAGAACAGCTTATAAACTACAGTTCTCGAATCCATATGATTCTTACAAATGGAGCAGATTTGGGGACAACCCCATGGTTGTAGTGATGTTTCACATTTATAATCTCACCCACTACATGTCCTAGATTAACCACTGAATAGCTTTGAAGAGCAGCTGGAATCCCACATTTATTCCATTTTTCTATTTATACAGTTTTACATCCCCACTTAATCCAAAGGTGCTTTTTCAAAAGACAACTAGTCTTTCTTTGTTTTTTCTTTTAAGATGTTTTGTTTCTCATCCAAGAAGCTTCTTCAGTTTTGACTGAATGGTGGGGAATTCAGTAAGACTTCCCACCACTCAGCCAGAACTGAAGAATCTTCTTGGATGAGAAGCAAAAGATCTTCAAAGAGAATACAAAGAAAGCTCAGTTGCCTGTATGACTGAAAATCTCCATAGACATCTCCTCTTAAGTGCTTGGATGGCCTACAATCCTCAATTTCTGAGCTGCAAGAGATCTACAGTGTGTGAATCAATTCCTTTGTTGATTATATGGATTCTTCCCTTCTAATTCTTTGTAGAATGGAATGGTCATTTATTCCCTTAGCCAATCACAAAGACCCTTCCGTCATATTGTTCCTTTGTCTCCCAGAACGTTAGGTACACCTTCCCAGTGTTTAAGTCCAGCAGAGCATTGCTCCCAGCTTACAATTGGAAGGTAGTAAGTAAGTAATTTTTTTATTACGGTCAAAGACCAGCAATACACATTAGCAATTGGAAGGTAGGAATTCACTAGACAACATGGCACACCATTAAGTTTCTCCATTTCCTGAGAAGAGTTTCTGTTCCACAACTAATTTCGGAAATCAGCATTGCAAAAGGATTTTGTGATCCACCATCTGATCAAAGAAAACTGTTTAGATGCAACCCGAATGCTGCTGAAATAAATATTTTGATCCTTCTGAACAGGTGCTTCTGATCTATATAGGCATTCTGAATACACAACTGGGAGATGACAAGAGGAATTTATATTCTCAGTTTGAGGTTACATCTTAGGATTTCTTCTATAGAAATGGAACAAAATCATCTTCAGGAAGCTTTGTGTAATCAGATCTTCTGAGGCAGGAACTTCACGGCTGAGTGGAGTACTAACATGACATAGATCTGAATCAACTTTCGGGGTCTATATGAAATTTACTGATGCATGTGCCTTAGCAGTTGTTAAGGGCCATGTAATTTTAGGTAAAAGTTCTCCCTGCTCTCTTTTGATAGTAATCTATATTACTTTGAAAATGGGGTAAACCACCCTTTGGCACTTGGAGATTTCCTGCTCATTCAGAGGCTTAAATTCCTGTTCTGCCTTTCTAATAACTTCCTTGCACTTAAGCCAGTGATGGCAATGTCAAAAATTTGGAAATTGCCTAATTTGACTCTGCTGATGTGTCACACTCCCACCCTTGAATAAAATACAAAATGAGAACAATTTTCTCTCTTCCCCTATCTAGTCTACCCTGAACAGTAGCACTCAGTGGCAGTGCCAAGGCTGGGTCTGAAGTAGACACCTGGGGCATTTTCAGCTTCAGCCCTAGTATCACCACTACCATTCGTAAAGGCTGCCTTTCAGGCAGTGGTGGGTTTCAAATTTTTAAAAAACCTCTTCTGTGGGTGTGGCCTGCTTTGTGGGAGTGGCTTACTGGTCATGTGACTGGGTGGGAGTGGCTTGTCAGTCATGTGACTGGGTGGGTGTGGCCAACATGTAAAATGTGGTGAAACTCACTTAACAACGCTCTTGCTTAGCAACCAAAATGTTGGCTCAGGAACTCTGGCATTGAAGCGTGCAAGTCTTAAAGCTGTCACGTTACAAGACCCTCGCGCCCCTAACCCTTTAGAAAAAAACAAACCCAGGAGTGTTCAAACTTGATAGCTTTAAGACTTTAAGGTTTAGATAGGATGGGGCAATTGGTGAGCCAGCCAATCAGTGGGCAGTGGGCGGGGCAAGCTTGGTGCGGACGGGCGGAGAGAGCTGGAACCGGTTCTAAACGGCACGGTAGATTTGTGGAACCTCTTCTATAGAAGAGGTTAGAACTGGCAGGAACCCACCCCTGGTTGGAGGGAATAAATTACAAGCGGGGAGAAGGTGGCTGGTTTCACCTTGCAAATCATACATTAATCTTGGTTTGCAGTGACACCCCCTTAAAGGACGTTCTTACTCGCTCTTAACAGTGTAATTCTATTCAGCACGAGTTTCATAAATAACATTCCCGAATCCTTTGAAATGCAGAAATTGAAATTTGGTATTCAGC